CGGGGCAACTTCGTCAATTTCTCTCTTCTTGTAAAGTTGTAATTATTTTAATTATTTTTATTTCCAAACTGATTTTAACCAGTTGTATAGTAAGGTAACATTCCAATAGACAATATGCAAAGCTTTTTTTTCAGTTTACAGTAGTATTTATTACACAAAATTTAAGTAAAGCTTAACATGCCGATCTTGCCCCGGTCTCCCCTATGTTTATTTTGTAATTATTTACCTAGTAAAGTAGACTAAATAAAGATTTTGCATGACTTTTTTATAAATATTATATTAATATTATTCAAAATATTAATAAAACGTAAAATTGTATTAATATTTATTGAAAATAAAATTTAAATTTAAGATTTTATTGACCATTAAAATTAGTTCAACAAAGAAAATAATAATAATAATATGTTATGATCAAACAAAGGAAAGAATTGTGACGCAAATACTTTATTATTTATTCTCTAGAATGTTGAATATAAATAAGAATTAGATAAAGATGATAAGATCTAAAATTCAGTAACACTAAAAAATTTGATAAATTATGAAGCAATTAAAAATCCTATTGATGATGCATGAATAATTTTGCAAATGTAAGTGAATAAATTCGCCTAGCAGCATGATTTACTTTTCTAAATTCTAAAAATATTTTGGCGCTTTATTTGTTTATTTTTCACTTTAGTTTAAGCTTCGTCACATAACTTTTTTCTGTCTTTTAATTTTATTCGTTTGCTATTATAATTTTTCACTTTTTTTCAAAATTTTTACAATTTCTGCTTAGATAAAAACTAAAATGAAATGTATAATTTAAAATATTTTTTGAAGGAGATAATATTTTGATATTTAATTAGATTGAAATAAAAGAAAAGCTTCGAAAATATAAAAAAAATTTTAAATGCTGTTTTAATATACTTCATCATAAAACTAAATGAAAAACATAGGATAGGAATAGAAATAAAAAATAATTTATAATGTATGACATCTATCTTGACAGAATAATTAAGTTAAGTGAATTTTTGTAAAATTAATTTCAAAAGCATTTACATATACGTGAACAACAGTAAAAATATCCAGTTTTGAAGAAAATTAATGAGAGAAAAGCAAAATTTATTCAATGTTTACAGCTATAACTGTACAGTAAAAACTCGATTATCCGAAAGAGTTTTCGGGAAAAAATTATGTAAGAAAGAAAAACCAGACAGTGTAGTATTGTACAGTTCATATTTTACAGTATACCAGAATATAGAGTACAAATATGTACAGAATACAATAGAGTACAGAATATGAAGACCAAATTCGCCATGTAACTGGATATTATTACGTCATCATCTGTCGACTATAGCGCCGAGAAACTAGGTCATATACATAACATCACGTTAAACTTTGAGTAAATTAATTTACTTTCAAATACAATAATTGTATAGGCCTAACAGTTTTTATATTTCATGAAACTTTAAATGTACAGTGCTTGATGTACTCATAACACAAAAACAAAGGAGTTTCTGGATTATCCATAAAATTGTTTATCCGAAAGACCCCTGTTCCCATCAAATCCGGATAATCTAGTTCGGTAAAATCCCGATTATCCGAGATAACGTGGGACAGATACTATCTCGGATAACCGAAATCTCGGAGAAAACGGACGACTTCGGCCATTTCGGATTAAAAATTACGAACATAGGAGATTCATAAGATATATTATTTTTAAGTCACTTTTTATATTTTATTGGATTTAATCATATATAACAACTTTTGCATCATATATTATATAATAACTAATATGTGCCATACAATAGTTTAAAGAATAAAAATGTGTATTACTGTATTTGTAATGTAAGGTAACAGTAACAAATCATTTTGTAATATGTGTTATCGTTTTAAACTTTCTATTATGAATTACAGTATAAGAAAAGTAGTTACACTTACAGATTTAAGAATAAGAAAAGTAGTTACACTTACAGATTTGCCTGATAATGCGGAATCTCCGATAATCGAGATTCTACTGTATACTTAATTCTTATGAAAATTTCAAGCCCTAAATCAAATATTGTAGATTAAAGGGTTAAATAACTTCATTACAGGGAAACGAAATAAATACTTTTTACCTTAAAAAAAATTTTAATATTAAATTTGTTATCTAATTAAATATAAATATATAACCTAATAATTATTCATTTTTATCACTTTTTATATTGATAATAACAAAGATAAAATGAAGCATATAATCATTTATGGCAGTAATTTATTACCATCACGTGAAATGAATGTAAATAGCCGTAACCATTCATTATTAACATTACACTGAAGGAAAATTTCCAAAATCAATTATTTAGTCACGTAAATATCATTGATTAATTTATTGTAAATCTCAATAAAAAAATAGAATAATCATTGAATAGAAAGCATTGGATTATTTTATCTCATAGCTCTCGCCTTTCCATTTAATTCTTATTTTCTCAGTTTGTTTCCATTTATTATATTACTAAACTCACATGTCTTAAATTTAAATAAATTTTAAAATATTTAAATCGAAATAAATTAGCTTTTAAATGAAATCATTAAACTTTTGTAATAATTATTCAATATTTAATGTTTTCATTATAATATTTTGAAATTTATTATATATAAATGAGTTTATTATTATTATTATTATTCTAAACATTCAATGAGATTATTTTTAGAAATTCTTCGAAATAAACAACTGTTCTACCTAAATTATTAATTATTCTTCAATCATGAATAGATTTTAAATAAATGGTGGTTTCATGGAAAGGCTTTGTATATTTTTAAGAATTCTTTTTTATTAATTCAAAATTTAGCATTTGTAAAATTATTTATATTATGTCATCTAAGAAATTTGCCTGGATAAACGTCTTCAAACTCTGCTTTAAAATAATTTCCTTTTAATTATTTAATTTATCCCATACATAAATGAAAACAGGAATGTGCAGATGTCGTAAACACTTTTAAAATTTAATAAATAAATTTATAATTAATTTCTGTTTTGTTAGAATAATGTAATAAATTTCTAACATTTACTTTAACATTATCGAATTTTATTTAATCCTTTTTCTTTGATTACGTTTCTTTTACTAAACAAATTATTGTAGATATTTTTTAAAATAATTTTATCAACTTCAATTCAAAATTCATTTTTGAAATTGTCAATTATATAATAAACTATAACTGACTTTAATTTAATTTTATATATCTTTTATATAAGAATAAATTAACATTTTCTAATATATTATTGCATTTATGTCTTACACATATGAATGTTATTTATCTAAAGCTCTAGAAAGTAAAATTTATTATACATTTAAATAACTTTGTCACTTTAAAACAAAAATTTTTTTACACTTTTTTAATTAATAAAATATTATATAAAAATAAGGAATTGTTAACAAACAAAAATGAATAGATACATTCAGGTTATATAAACGTGAAAGAAAATATGAAATTTCCAAGATAGCAAAATTGATATTACATTGTAAATATTGAAAACTCAGAAAAGTATAGAATAAAAATTTCGTTTGTTATTGAATCTTTGCACTCAGAATAATTAGTTTGTATAGATGGTTAGAAGCACTAACGCCATTTCAGTATTTAAAGAACCACTCGAAGATCTTGCAGTTTTAAAAGTTTACAGAGCATAAAAGAGAAGTGATTGTGCGCTCTGAGCAATTTAAACAGTTCACGAAAGGAAAACAAAAGGTCTGGTAGTTGTGACACCAATAACGATTAACCCTTTCATTAAAGGAGAATTAAAGGTCGAATCTACAGAGACGAAAAGTTTCTGAACAATGGGCTCTTTTCTCATTTGTCCAAAAGTGTCTAGGGACACGAAGTCAAAGAATTAATTTAGAAGGTACGATTCGACTTTGTCTTTTTAAATTTTTTCCTTTCTTTTGTGAAAGCTAATTGATGCCAATCTACTTATAAAATCTCATTAATAGAATTATTACTTGGTAATCAAGGGGAGAGAGATTAAGTAAAATTTGCCCAAATGTATTTCTTAAAGTTGATTAGTTTTCTAAATAAATAAATAAAATAAAATGAAATAAATAAATAAAATTATATTTTTAAAAATGAAATTTTAATTGCGTTAATAAATAGTTTATTCAGATATAAAACATTCGTTTCTTTTGTAAATCATTGGAAATGTTTTACATAGAAAATCAAAGTATTGTTAGGTATAACAAAATTTCGATGAAAAATGATATGAAAATTACAGTTTCAAAAGTGAAATTTTCATTATGTTTATGCTTTGTAAACTTTAGCAAAGAATTAATCATCCATTGTATACTTTTCAATAGTTGAACAATTTCAATTAATTAATTCTTATATAGTCAGTTAAGCATATTAAAATTATTCAAAACAAATAAGATAAATTAATTTCCATATTTATAAAATTTTCTAATTATATATTCTTTAAAAAAATATTTGATTTCCCTTATTGAAAATTTACATTAAGAAATCTTGAAGGCAATTTAAGAAATATTTCATATGTAAAAGGATATTTGCAAATATAAAAATATAAATACTAATTTCTTTTACAAAAAACTTAAATCTTGAGATTCACATTAGATAGGGCATGTGCAGAATTTGACAAGTTACTGCTCTGTTTATATCACAACTTATAAAATGGCACAAGTTTTGTTTACCACTGGAGGTGGCGGTGGTAGCAAATGCGGCTCAGGTTCTTTGTAATATCCGTCTAAATATAATCTAATAATATAAATCCAATATTCGTTCATATTAGCGGGATTATAAGTGAAACTCGCTTCAATACCAGATGTAGCTTCTCCACCAGTTAACAATCTCATTGCAACAGTTTCTGCACTTAACATTCTTGCTCCTAAAACAGAATAATCTCAATGAAATCACCAAAAAACTATAAAAAAAAAGTTTTTTCAACTTACCTGTAAGTTGAACCCATATTTTCATTCTTTCTTTTGTTTGAGTAAGGCTTTCAAATTCTGGGATAAACATGCTTGTATTCAGTTGATATGGTATAAAAGTTTTACATGATAAATGAAGAACCGGTGTTCTAATCGAGGCTTCCATAATTAAAGACTCGGCAGGTTTTGTATACGTCACACGTAAAACTCTAACATAATAAGTTGATTTGCCACCATGTTCTGTATAGCTCATTCTTTGTGTGTCAACAACTGAACCTGTAGCAATGAAAAATAATAACTAGATAATATTAAAAGTTATATTCTTTTAAAACCTTAAGCAAAATAACCTACCACCTTTCATTTTAATTTCTAATGATTGAGCATTACAAAATCTAAGAAATTGTTGTTGTTCACACCATTGGGAAGCTCGTGCTATAACATTAGAAAAAGGTTCAAACTGAGGAATTGAAAAAAGTCCGCCATCAGCAAGCATCACTGGAACAAAATCTGCAATTCCTAAATATTATTGTAAAAATAAATTAAAAACTTAAGAATAAAATTATAAATTAAAATATATAAAACGGTATTTAAAAAACAAATATTTTTATTACCAATTTCTTCCGNGTATATATTTTAATATGATTTTATGTGCTTTAAACGTTTATCTAGTGATATTACGACTTCAATATTTGTGGCGGACAGACGTAAAGTCGAATAAAATGACTTAAACTTGATTTTTATTTTTCCATATACTTTTTTGACAAACGACGTATAATCGGGAACGACGTAACTCGAAACGACGTAAGTCGAGGTATGCCTGTATATAATTATTATTAGTATTATTTCAAAAAATCACAGATAATCCAAACTGTTCGCCCACGAAAAAATTCTGTGCATTTATTTAAAAAGTGGTAAACTATTCATGCAAAATTTCCACATCAATAGCGTAACTTTGATGAACAGTTTAATATATGCATTATTAATATACTGTATATTGAAAACTTATTTAATTTTATCTGCATTAGTGAATGTTTTATTGAAATATCTACATTCATTTTTATATAAAGTAATGCAAATGAAACATAAATTTTGATGATATTAAAGGATAAAAAAGCAGAATTATGCAGTTTCCTGATATTTATTTATAAAATTGACGGATGCAGCATTTAATTATTATTAAATATGTCAGGTTTCATATTATTAAATTATTAGATCTAGTCCAGTTCAGAACCATCGAAAAAAAGGGCACAAAGCAACATTTGTTATCACTCTAATTATTACTCAATTAAACATGTGTTCCAATCTTATTTTAATATTCTCATCCTGTTGATTTTTAAACGATAATAGAACTTTCATGATCTGCACAAAAAGAAAAAAAAAATGAAAAATACCGAAACATACCTAATGTAAATCATATCAAGAAAAATATCTCATAAATTTTCTAGTTCAAAAGAAGATTGGGTTTCATACCATACTACAGGATTTATTATTAAATTACGGTATATAATTTCATGCAAACATGGACATTAGTATCTTTTAAGAATGTAAATAATAAGATTAGCTTACTTATGAAAGGTATTGCTTACAGTCATTACGTACTTTAAATGTATTGTTTCAATTAAAAGTTAAACCTAAATGCATCATTTCGATTTACTATTTGTAAAAGCTAATTTCCTGTATGAAATTTCTTCTCTATTTCTATTATTATATAGTTTTGCTTTTCGTTGGATTAATTTTTAGAAAAATTGACGCTTATGATATTTTACGTTGTAAAGCTATTTTAGTGGGTGCTATTAGAGCTATGTCATCGATAAATACAATTACATTAAACGTTTTGCATCAATTATCATTATTTGAATTAGTGAAACAGTGTTCAATTCCCTATATGTAGAAATTAAACAAGTGCGGATAGAGAGCATCTTCATGCAAAATATCACTTGTTAAGTTAAAACAAGAATTATATATATATATTTGATAGTTACGAAGAACAATGTTAACATTGTAATTGTTAAACAATCATTTAATAGTCTTGAAAAATATATTATCTGTACACTTTATAAATTAATTATATATATATATGTTACAGNTGGAATTTTAAAAAATATATTGTTATTTAAGACCCATTTTTGAAATCTGTTTGCTAAAATTTTAGTGAATTATCTTCTCATTCCCGATAAAAGGGTTATAGTCCAATAGTATTGAATTAAGTTGATTAACTTCTCATGTATCATATTCAATTTGATAAAAATTCCAATTTGCTGGAAAACTAAGATAAAGATAATTTTAAAAATTTTGATAGTATTAAATCTTTACCTGGGAAAAGAGTCATTCCTTAAATTGAAGTTATCTGTACTTTAAAATTATTTAAATATCTTCAATAATTATGAATATGTTTGAATGTATGATTATTATAAATTTTGTAAATAGTTACGAAACTTATATTCAGACATTTATACTAAATGATTTCATACTTTTTTTTGTAATTATACAATTAGTTAGGAAAGGGCTAATCAATCAAGAGTGACGTAATATTCATCAAATTATGTCTTCGTACATCAAGTTTTTTGAATATCGCTTAATTTTATGTTTAATATTTTTTTAGCTTAATATTTTTTTTTACTTCAACGTCGCATCTTGAAATGCTAAAATGAAGAGTTGCTGCCGATTTTTTTTACATTTTATTTTATAAATAAGTTTTCAAACTTATTTTTTAATTTTCTTCTTTTTCAGATTTATAAATTATATAATCTGTTGTCATGTTGTCATTTTGTTAAAAAGAACTTTCGTTATTTATATACCGGGCTTTGTCTGCTTTAATTTAATATAATTTTATTTACAAATTATAATTCTTAAAAATTTTTTTGTAATAAATTTTTTTAAGAATACACTTATGCATTATGTTTTTTATATTTTATAATAATTGCAAGAAACAGAAACGAAGAGAATAGCCATTGAACTTTTTGTATGCACAAGTACTTATTCATTTACATAATGATGTAAATAATTATATTTGCCGAATTTGGTAAACTATGTTATTTAATATTTCATTTTAAAAAATCTCATGCTATTTTACCGTACTCATTAAACATGATAGTTTCATTTGATAGAGAATTAAAGCAAATTTTATTATTTACTTCAAACATAAGGTGAAAAGGATGAAAGAGGACATAAGAACATAAGGATGAAAGTCTTATTAATTCCTATTAAATCTTCTTCAAATTATTCATTATTAAAAAATTCAAAAAAATTTCTTAACTCGAAATGTTAATATTTACGATGCTCCTATATGGTAATAATATACAGTATATACTGTATTCCCTCGATTAAACTCTGGGGTTCAAATAAATGTATGTCTTAGAATAAACCCGGGGGAATAAAGATCTTCTGAACTCCGGATTGAGAAGCATGGGAATGCTGAAGTACTGCAATATTTAAGGCAATGTAGTTTAAAGTAGAAGATAAGAAGTTTAACTATAATTCTATCTTTAAATTTTCTAGAGTTGGATAGCATTTTCTAGTCCAAGGTTTGAGAAAACATTTTTTTGAGATAAAATTATAAATATTATTGAACATTGAACTGGGAAAGTCACAATCGAGTTCACAAGTCGAAGAGCATATTAATCAACAAGAGTAATTAGGAAAACTCGTTCAAATTCACCATCTCTTTAAAAGAGATTGTAAATTTGCATCAGACAGTGGTAGTTAAGATTTCGATTACTATGACTACATGCCCACCAGTAGCCGAGTGAATAAAACCACTGAACACCGGTAATTGGTCGTGGATTCGCGCCTAGCCAACGGCTGGCCACTTGGAATTTTCCTAGTTTTTTTACGTTAGTAACACCTAAATAGGTGCTAATTTTTCATAGAAAGACCTCCTGGGGACATTCCCTTCAGTAGATCGCCCACGTGTCATGTTGCCATAAACAAATAAACCAAACTAAACTGACGACGACATCGAAGCAGACACGAAGGACAACGCAACAACTGAATTGGAAGACGGAGAGTCCGGTTAGCTATGAAAATAGTAATTGTTTCAAATGTTGTAGCTATAATTTTTAAATTAAGATAATTAAGTATTTCTTTTAATTTTTACCCACTCTTCTCTAGCTGCAAGGTAGTAAATCCTAGCCTCGAAAAAATCTAAATCTTCAAATAAACCCCTGGGGATACGTACGTTATAAAAGTAAACCCCCGGGGTTTAATCGAGGAAATACAGTATGCTTACATAAAGTTAGTTGTATCATCAATATCCTTAAGAAATTTCATACCAAAAAAGATGTTATTTAGAAATTTATGATGTAGTAATTAAGATCCAGATTTGAATTAAAAATTTTTGCTTTTGTGATCATTGACTACGATCATTTCGTTAACTTAGTTAATCGAAATGCAAAACAATATTTTCCACTTGGAAAATTATTATTTATAAACAAATATTTTGTTTAGCATTAGATAACGTTAAAGGTAAAAAAGTTTAATAAATAGTTTGTTGAAATTAATTTTTATAATAATTACAAAGATCTTCAAATTATTTTAAGTGCAAATAGCATCACTTTTATCAAATAAATTTTAAAATTAATTTTTGTTTTGTTTTTTATTTTACATAATTTTATTTTATGATTCTCTTCCTAAAATTCTGAAATTTGAAATTTGAACCAAATTTTAAAAAGTCTCATAAATATGTTTAAGCAAAAATATCCGAATTGACGGATTTTAATTACAAATACCCATTAAATTTCGTTTTAAATCATGTAAATTATGCAGTTATACTCTTCTGGCCAAAATATTTTCCATCATTTTCCACTCTTATTTGGTACATAATCCAGAGCTAGTGTAGATTTTGGGGGTAGAGTATTAATGTAATGTTACACAATTTTCATTAAACTTAAGATTTTAACACAAACATTATGTTTGTTACCATCAAAAAATCAAACATACATTTTCTTAAAGACAAGATTGTAGTCTGGTTTTTCACTGTATCTGACCTCCTTGCTTTTCCATAATCTGACGAATCCAATTTAATGACAAATCGCCTAATCAACAAATTCATCTCGTATACTGTTGACTGTAATTTAATCTCTGCGCTTCTAAAAGTTAGCAGATCTTTTCTATAATATTTAGATCCTGATCTCTTACAGTTCAATACAGAACATTCAAATCGTTAACCTGAAAGTTGTGAATGACTCGTCTGGCTATAAGTATTTGTTCCTTGTCCTCTTGCCATTTCCATTTTTACGGCCAAATTAGTAATTGATTCATGAGAAAAAAACATGCTGAAGTTTTTCCAAATAAGCATTGCTCTTATACTTCTGTCAGAAACCTTACTTTGGGATTTTTACATTTTGCATTTTCAAGTCAAAATTATACTACATTCACTATTCACACATTGGAGGTTACGTGCAGTGCGATAAAATCTGAGCAAGTATAAATACAAGTTGTACGGACCATCCAGAAAAACCACTATATTAAAATCGGATTCTCCGAGATTATGTTGCTTATACCTTAGGGTATGAGATAACTTCTATACTTTTCTGTCGTTAAATCCTTTCTGTTGCAGAACTCGGAGGATGGTATGGCAGGATACATTTAAATTTAAGGATACCTGGAAATAAAAACTTATAACGAACCGATTCTATCTGGTCATTGGTCAAGAATATAAGAATTTCGGGAGAGTTTCATTCTTGTTTTATTGTTATGATTATGGATGATATTGATGACAGTCTTTTTAGAAATGCCTGTCATGTTTTCTATACTATTTATAATCTTCCTTAATTATTCCATGTATATATCTTTTCACAAGGTTTTCACTTGTGAGCGGACTTCTTCAGAATATATTGTTTAACAGAATCCATTCCTCAGTACTTCCACAAATATAGACTAGGCACTCCGCAAAACTTAATAACGCACTCCGCATGGTTACTTCTTCTATTGGTAGAAAAACCTCTTATTACACTTTTTATACGATTCTTGAAGAAATATCCGAAATTTTCGAGAAACTTTTCCAGTATTTTGATTAATTCGCTCATAAGCTACCTCTCAGTCATTCCTGATTATAGGTGATGTGTTATTAACACTCACTAAGTGTTGCCCAATATTATATCCAAGATTGTATATACTGTATATAATTGTTTATAATTTTTTTCATAGCTATAAATTATTATATCGATTATATTTAAAATAGTACTGTACTTAACATGTCTTTTAAATCTAAAAATAAAAAAATCACATAATAAAACTTTGTTTAAAATCTTATTATTAAAGTAGCTTTATGATTTATAAACTTGAATGTGTCTGTATAAAACAAAAGTATTACTGAGGAAAAATGAGAAGAAAGAATTGAACCAAACGAATATAATTCGGCAAAAAAACATCATATTAGAATTTACCAATAGTTCTTATGAGGCATAAAAGAAAATGCACAAGAAAGAAAAATATAAATAAATATACACAGTATGATTAATGAATAATTAAATAAGCAAACGAAATAGGACAATAAACTTAATAAATTTCCATTTAATGTAAAATGGCATCATTTGATGAATGTTATCTCGTGCGAATTAGTGTAGTCTAATGCTAATATAACTAAATAAGTATGAAAATTCGATAGAAATTTTAATGAATTGAAATCATTTATTTAATATTTCGAATGATAATTTTGTTAATAAACAAATGTTACTGAAATATATTTATTCAAAAAAATAATAAATAAGTAAATAAAGTATCAACTTTGCGTAAAATTTAAATCTACGTTCTATGCAAGTAATTGAATATTTTAATTAACTGAGTAATGGATTTACAGACTTATTTTTGAACATTTATATTAATTTAATACAGAGGCAAAAGAAACAAAAGTGTTGTTTATTTGTTTTTATATAACAGTAATTTAACACTTTTATTTCTTAGGTTTTTGTTTGTTTTTTATGGGGCTTTTCGGTTTATGGAGTGGATTTTACAGTTTGAATGTTAGTTGCATGTATACTAAGAAATGATTTATCCAGTTATTACATGAATATATGGCGTGATTAAAAAATTAATTGTTTCTAGAGTAAAGTTAAAAGGTCCATTAGAAGATAGGATAAGCGTATGCGGTACTTAGATGATTAGATCTTTCGTCACTAAAGAACGTTAGTTCGGATCCTGTTTGTATTCAGACTTTTTTTTCCGGATTGTGGTTATTCTTCAATGGGTTGATAATATGTGCTACTATATCTATATTAATTTGAAGTACCGTATACTATAGTTCAAAATTTAATATATGTACAGTACATCAAAATTTAAATGCAATAAATAAATTCTGTTTGAGCAATAGAAGAAACGAGCAATTATTTA